CCACTGTTAGAACAAAAATACTCAAGAAACTGATTTGAAGAATAAAAATTGAGTGAACTTATGAATTCCAGCTGTGTATTAATTTGCATAAGATCTAAATTTATACAAGGAAAAACCTAACCATTTCCTATCTAGTAGCCACTAACAACCATAAAAGGGGCCACTAACAGCCATTAAAGGGGCCACTAACTTCAGAAAGTTGAGCAACTAAAGTTGACTAAGTCTAGCTTAAAAATAGGAAGAACTAAACTGAAATAAGTAAAAACAATAAAAAAATAGTAAAAATAATAAGCTGGAAAAAATCCCAATTTTCTAACAGGCTTTAGGGACATATACAAAGAGTGCTAATTGCCACTAAAAATATATATTTAGCGGCAATTAAGCTAATGTCGTTAATTAATTGGCCAACTAATAATCATTTTTGATGTACTGTATGTTTGTGCAACCAACATGTTTAATGAGATATTGTCCTTGGAAACTAACACAACTGAATCAAAGGTATCTACATTCATATAGTGGTATTACATCTTGTTTGTCGTTAAGTGTTCATCTAGTATGTCGCGTCCCGAGCCTAGACCCTGGATGTGGCTAGCACTCGAGAACCATTGCTAGTCCCCAAGCAAACCCTTATTCTGGATGACTACTTAGCGGAAGACTTAATCAAGCAATGATAGGCCAATTTTTTTTTAATTCGTTAAATTCAAATATTCATCTCATAAAGTCTGGAAAATACTCAATAACAATATTTTTAGTTTGTTCAACAACTCAAAATAAATTAAATACTAAGAGACACCTCGAATCTGTTTATCTATGAAACCTCTACTATTAAAGAAGGATGTCGGGACAAGACCCACGACATCTCAAACCTACTACCTAGAAAGTAAATGTGAAGTCCTCTGGAATGCAATGAGGCTCACCAAAAGCTAGTTGAAGTGTAGAGTGATCTCAATGAAGCGCCTGTTGATGATCCTGAACACCTGTATCTGTATCATAAAAATATACATGTTGAATGACTTCAGTACATTTAAATATACGAGTATGTAATATAACCGAAGCGAAATAACTGAATGAAAGGACTGCTATAGATAAAAATATACTCAAGCTGATGTACATAAATAAATGATTTAAATCATTTAAAACTTTACAAAATACTTACTCATATCTGAACTCAACATAATAAGTGATATATTAAAATATACTTTAACTCTATTGGGAGATTCTCTACCCGACAACTATCACTATGAGCTACGTGATGATACAACGTCTTACCCATGCTGCTAGAACTGTCATATACTATGCCAGGGTATAGAACCTCTCAACTAAGTGGATCCACTAAGCAATAAGGATTCATCTAAAAAGTATGATCATTTACTCATGTTGGCAAGACATGTTTTATGAGGATTTTGAGTTGTCTAAACTCATCCCCATATCGGTGCTCAATACTACTCCAAATAATATATATA